CTCCCTGCTCCTCCCTGCTCCCTGCTCCTCCCTGCTCCCTGCTCCTCCCTGCTCCTCCCTGCTCCCTGCTCCTCCCTGCTCCCTGCTCCTCCCTGCTCCCTGCTCCTCTCTGCTCCCTGCTCCCTGCTCCCTGCTGGTTTCAAGGCAGTCAAGGAACCATGAAGAGATGAGAATGGAAACTTGATTCAGATTGATCTCATTGACCGGGAGCAGACTGCAGGGAGTCTGATGCCAGGCTGTCTGTTGTGGGCAAATTGGAAAAGGGGCTTCTAAGAGACAATCATTCCAAGTCTAGGTGCACAATAAAGCTTCAGGTGTCACTACATAGAAATTCCTATGCAAAGTACATGTGACCTTGAAGATGGGTTCTATAGCTTAAGGGCCTAGGATCTGGTGTGGCCTCTGATCAACTAGCATAGAGGTCAGCAGGCGATAAAATGCAACTGATATCTCCCCTAAGAATGAGAGCTAAAGATAAAGGTCTAGGGAGGGAGAGCGGGCCTGGAAGAATCATTCTGGGGTTTGGGTGAGGTTTACCTCTATAGATAGCAGAAGATCACCAGGTCATTAACAATATTCACTCCCAGCTTTCTGGATGGAATGCAGGTATTTTATTTCCTCCATTGAGGAGATGTCCCTGTGTGTTTAACATTCCTGGTTTTCCTAGTACCCCACCCCACCCCCAAACTGCACAGTATCCAGTTCAAGGAATTTTCTTTTAATTAGGAAGAGGGTATGGTTGCTCAGTTTTGACTCCATAAGTATTCATTCAGGTTTCCCACTAACTTGAGGGTGAAGATAAGGAGGGTGCAGATGCTCCGCCAACCATTTCCTTCAGTACTTTTTGTACAACTCAGTTGTCTTTGGATAACTATTGATTAGGCATCAGCAAACAGAGGCTTGTGAACGCATCCTCCTCTCTTCCCCTCCTCTTTCCCGCTCCAGTTAACAAACTGTCTAACCACACAAAGTGCTTTTGATTGTATGTCTCATTTCCAAAGAATATGAAGTCACTGAATTGAGCCCAGAGAAGCTCAAACTCAAGAGAAAGCTTCCTTTATAAAATCCCAGAAATCGATGAGAGGGAACGCTGGGGTGGTAACCACTCTGCCTTTCTAAAGGAACTTGGCTTTAGGTTTATTTTCACTGACTATATTCATAAGCCCTTCCTGGGTTTGCCTGCTATAATTTTTAAAAAATATTCTTTGGAGATGTTATTCATCTCCCTCTGCCCAAAGTTTTCTTGGAGGAAACCAGTCCCCCAAATGATGACATTCTGTCACTGTGGTTAAAAGACTTGTAACTGTTTAATCCCATGGAAACTTGCTCACCTCTCTGACCCTGTTCAAGACAAGCCCCTAGCACTGCAGTTTAGCCATAGGAGTTCATTCTCCATCCTGGTCTGCAACTCTGGATCTCTCAACCTTGGCTCAATGGGCCCTACTGCTCAAATGTTCTCTTTTGAGGACCTGAGTTCAATCCCAGCACTCACATAAAAAGGCCAAACTTAGTGAATCATAATCTTAGCACTGAGGAGGCAGAGACAGGGGGATCCCTGGAGTTCCATGGAGAGCTAGTCTATCCTAATTGGTGATATCCAGGTTCAGTGACAGAATGTATCAAAAATAAATATGGAAAGCAACTAAAATAACAACTGATATCAACCTTTCCTGTGTGCTCATGTGCATGCGTGTGCGTGCAAACATACAGTCTCTCATCTTTCGTTCTATTATATGTCTGATGCTGTGTCTGTCTCTGTCTCCCTCTGGAAAGGGTCCTCAGGTAGGAAGCAGCTTGCTACTGGAGGCATGGGAATATGTTCTCTGAGCCATGCCTATAAGCAATGTACAACCATAAATGCTTCTGTACATGGCTGTTGTTGAAAAGGCAAACTGAATCAATATTAGATGTCATTCTCAGTCAGAGGAATTTCCATATGTGCCCCAGTATTTGTCCTCTCTGACAGTTTGTTTACCATTAACTCTTCCTGTCTCCCAACTCTTTGCCCTACCCCCCCCCCCCCCCCGGGCACCTAGTTAAATAAAAAGGGAAGGAAATCTTTAGGCCCTTGTTTTTAAAGATGCAAGTCATGACCTTTCTTGGACAGTACAATCCACATAGGATCCTGTTCCCTTTAAAAGTTGTTGAAGAATAATTTGGAATTCGAGAGAGCTTTTCCTGGCAAGCAAAGCTGACTTTGTTTCCATTGCACCAATGTGCCAGGCTGCAGTACAAAACCCATTTCTTGCTATGTGTCAAAAAGAGACTCTTAACAACTTAGAAAACAGAGGCTTGAGAGATGGCTCAGTGGTTAAGAACACTGAGTGGTCTTCTTGAGGACCTAGTACCACATGGCAGCTCACAATTGTCTGTAACTTCAGATCTGACACTCTCAGCCAGACATACATGTAGGCAAAACACCAATGCACATAAAAACAAGCAAACAAAGGAATAAACAAAAACATTAAAAAATGAACTTAGAAAATCGTGGAGAGGGCTGGAGAGATGGCTCAGTGGTTAAGAGCACTGACTGCTTTTCCAGAGGTCCTGAGTTCAAATCCCAGCAACCACATGGTGGCTCACAACCATCCGCAATGAGATTCGATGCCCTCTTCTGGTGTGTCTGAAGACAGCTACAGTGTACTCATAAATAAAATAAATAAATCTTTAAAAAAAAAAAGAAAAAAAAAGAAAATCATGGAGATCAGGCAAAGCTCCTAAAACTACCTACATGCCAAGGGATTCCCTTAGCGTCTGGCACTGTCTTCCCACGTCAGAACTTTGGATTTTAACATGCAGGCAGTGGGATTTTATTGAAGATGTGTGTGCTGCAAGGTGAAGGTGATTTAGAGAACTCATTGAGTAGTCGTACACAGGCTGGCTTGGAGACTGGAGGGAGATAGGAGGCAAGGGTTTTAGTTAGGAGATGCATTCCAGGCCTGGGAATGATTGATGAGGACCTGGATAGAGTGGCCAATGGCCATAATGGCCAGTAATGGCCATCACTGATTTTTTTTTTTTTTTTTTTTTTTTGTAGCATGTGGAAGGGATTTTTGTTTCCTGTTTTGGGTATGGTCTCCATTTTAGAACCAAGTTACCCTGGGTATTTCAGCCTGTCTTATCATATCAGCAAATGTGTGTTGACCGTGACTCTGTGGAGACAAGTACTGCAGCTGCTGTATCATCAATTACTGGTCAGGTTCTGTTGGGGGTACACATTAGGTTTGTTAACAGTCCAGTAATCTGAAGAAATAACTTCCATAAATGGAGCCATCTCAACACTGCCAGTTTATGTAGGGTCACATCTTGCTGAGTGCTGATCAGTGTTGATGTGTTTAGACCTGGGAGCCTAGGCTGTCTGACAATGAGTGTTTTAGAGAAGAAGGCAAGAAACTAGATGTCAGTGAGCCAGTAGCCTTCCTAGAGCAGTAAGTTCTGCCTTTCCAGTTGATTCAGATCCTCTCAGCTCCATTATCCCCCTTCTTACTTCTGTTTGCTTCTGTGTCCTAGGAAGCAGGCCAGCAGCCCTGCCAGAGCACAGCAGTCCCTCTGCCTTCCTCCTGCCGCCAGTCTTTCCTGACTAACATCACCTTCTTGAAGGTTCTCCTCTGGTTGGTCCTGCTGGGTCTGTTTGTGGAACTGGAATTTGGCCTGGCTTATTTTGTCCTGTCCATGTTCTATTGGATGTACGTAGGGACTCGGAGTCCCGAGGAGAAGAAAGAAGGAGAGAAGAGCGCCTACTCTGTGTTCAACCCGGGCTGTGAAGCCATCCAGGGCACCCTGACTGCTGAGCAGCTGGAGCGAGAGTTACAGCTCAGACCCCCACAGGAGAGGTAGGACCAGCCCCAGCTGGCCCTCCTGTCCTTGAACATGGACTTAGAGGACAAAGGACAGCTTGCAGGGTGGTCACATTCTTCACTTTTCCCCTGATCTGCTGCAGTTTCATCTTGGAACTCCTCTTTGATTTAGGTGAAATTTTCGAAAGGACACTCAGGGCGGGGCTGATGCAGTATATAAAAGCCATATAAGAAAGAGGCGGGTTTGTCTCATTATTGAAGTGGTGATACTGGCCTGCTAGAGATGCACTGAGAGGTTCTCTGGTTTACCAAGTGATTTGGTGAATGAGTTGGCACCTTTTACATATTTTAATATTTACATAGCTAAGTTCCAGGCCAGGGAAACTAGTCTGCCCCCACACCGTAAATGTGTGAATGTTTTGCCCAAATATATATAGATATGCCATGTGTGTGCCTGGTACCCTCAGAGCTCCAAAGAGAGCATCAGATCCTCTGGAACTTGAGTTATGGATGGTTGTAAGCCACTGTGTGGATGCTGGGAACTAAACCTCACTCATCTGTGAGAGCAACAAATGGTTTTAACCACGAGCCATCACTCTCTAGCCTTCAAAAAAGATAAAAATAAAAAGTATTTCAGAATTATTTTCCCAAAAGGTTTAGGTTGTAAGGTTTAGGAAGTTTTGTTTGTTTTTGTCTTGTTTCTCCTCTTTTCGGTCATCAATGCTATTGAAATATAAAATGTCTTTAAGATTCTTTCTATAAGCAGGTTCCCATACACGGCCCATAACCATCTGTCATTTTTCCTGTTAACCCTGTCCCTACTTAGAGGAAGAAGAAACAAAGTCTTAACAGGACAAAGTCAAATAGAGACCAATAATATTTTATTTGTATGAGTGTTTGTCCACGTGATTATGTGTGTAGCACATGCCTGAGGGTGTCAGATATTCTGGAATTGGAGTGATGTATGGTTGTAAGCTACCTCATGGGTTCTGGGAACTGGGTCATCTGCAGGAGCAGCTTGCTCTTAACTCCTGAACCATCTTCCCAGCCACAGTATTGGAAATTTGATAAGAGGTTATTTATGATAGGTAATCAAGAGAAATTCTTGAGTGTGTGCATGGGGAAGGGCTAGGAGATAGGACTCTAGTTTTACTGCTTGAGTTGTGTCTCACTTTGTTTCAGGCATTTTTGAAAGGGTCTCCTGTAGCCCAGGCTGGTCTTAAACTCACTTTGTGGTTCTGGTTTATATACTGGGGACCAAACCTGGGGCTTTGTACACTTTAGATGAGCACTCTGCCAATGAAGCTACATCCTTGGGCCCATGCTTTATTATGTTCTAACTGCTGTAGAGTCCGCACGTTTCTGTCTGTGGGCTCTAGTTAGCAGTTGTATAGACTGCAGCTGTTGGGCCTAGTTTGGGTGTTGTTTCTTCTTCCAGTACAACGGTGGAGTTTAGGTTCATTGGAATTGGGCCACACCTACCTTTTCTTTGAGTCATTCTAATGAATGAAAAGACTCTAATTTTGTTCTAATTTTGTTATAAACTTACGGTTATAAAAAAATTACTGGTTCATTCAGTAATTTTTCACTTTCAGAGTGAAGCTATAATTACGTTATGAAGGTAACTTTGTGTCTGTGTGTGCTTGCATGTGCATATACACATATGTGTGTGCTGGTATCCACAGAGGCCAGAGATTCCCTAAGAGTTAGAATTGCAGGCTGTTGTAAGCAACCCAGTGAGCATGCTGAGAACAGAACTTGGATCCTCTCCTAACTACTGAGCCATTGACCCAGCTCCTGAAGGAAACATTAAATGATAGATAGAGGTCTATTGTTAATTCTTTTATTCTCCCTTATATGTTCTACTTACAAAACATTCTTAGTTTTCATCTAAATCCATATGTTTTTTGAATGTTAGAACTTTCCAAGGCACTTGGATCTAATAGGAAACATGCAGACCTCTTGCCAGTCATGGCCCTATTATTCTTGCTCACCTCTTCCCAAAAGGTGTGTGAACTGGCTTTGTATTCTAGGAAAAGTGAGATGTGAGCCAGTTACATGCCTGGCAGGGAGGAGAAGCAGGGACTCTGTATTTCCTGTTCTTGTTAGACCATTAAGCTTTATTTTAATAGTCTTGATTTTTCTGATTTAGACCTGCTGACCTCAGAGTTTTCATTTCCAGTAGCCTGAATGAGACTGCCATTAAGGGCAGCTCAATCATCAAAGAAAGAGACACAGACAATCATTGTAGTAGTTGCATGTGGGAATGTCATTTCTGTTACCTTCAATGTCTACAGGCACATTGTTTTTGCTCTTTGTCACAGTATTTGGCCTTGTCTGACCCTTGGCAGGGCCATATTTATTCCTAAGTAAAGATGGCTTGTTTCTGTTGACCCCAAAAAGATTCCAGTTACAAGGCTCAGGGACTTCTTTAAGAATTTGTTACCTGGGAGAACTTAGCCACTTTGCCTACCATGAAGGTTCATTCTTTCTTACTCTAATCTCAAGACCCCTGGGAGCCCCTGGTGACTATCCTCCAGGCTGGTGGACCATTGAGTTCTCCTCCCTCTCTCAGGCTAGGTCATGGAAATGGTACCCCAGGAGCAAAGTTACCTTCAACCAGTGCCAGCCCTTTCTGGGAGCTTCAGGTTGGGGAGTTTTTAACAATTGTGATTTTATGCTGCTAGGACTATGCATTGAGCATGGGAGGCTGTCCCCTTTGTCTTTTGGTTGATTTGCACAGCTAGATAAAGCAACTGGGTCTGCTACAGAAGGTTACACAGTTAGGAGAACCAGCCATCCTCATTTGGGCAGAAGCAAACAAAATGAGAACACTGTGTTACATTCCTGACACTCCAGGAACTATTTGAAGGTTTTCTGGTTTTGACACACAAAGAGCCCTCTGTATATCAGGAGTGGAGGAGAGCCATAGAATAGATATAGGGCTGGAACAGAATTCCATGGAGCATGTTGCCACCAAGGGGCAATATGGAGCTGTTGCAGCCTGCCCTACATCCCTTTACCTCACACTTGATCGTTGACATTAAGAGGAAAACCCTCTGGACTGCTTCTTGGGACCACTTGTGCTGTTCTGTTTTTGTTTTTCACTTCAAGATTCATAGGACCAAGGCTTTTTCACTGGTCCTGGAAAAGTCTGAAAGCCTTCAGCAGTGATTTATTACATACATATTTTAATATCTCCTCCCTAGGGTTAGCAGGCAGTCTTGTAGTTCCCTGTCCACTTCTGAGCTTCAAGGGGGCTGGGGTACAATGGCTAGGAGCTTAAACAGCTAACAAAAATTGGTCACCAAACTAAAGAAGGTAAAAATTTGAACTCAAGGCTTTGGTTTATGTTGTGCTTTTATTTTGAGACAGAATTTAGGCCAAAGATTTAGACCTTGTTCTCAAAAAGCTGAGCCCACAGAGAACCAGGTCATAGGGGACAGGTATTTCGGGGGAGGTGTCTCAGAGACGGAAATCATTCTCGCTGTGTCTCTGTCTCTGTCTCTCTCTCTGTCTCTCTCTGTCTCTGTCTCTCTCTCTCTCTCTCTCTCTCTCTCTCTCTCTCTCTCTCTCTCTCTCTTTCTCTCTGTGTGTGAGCTTCCGACATGTACATGTGGGTGCCAGTGCACATGAATGCATACGCTTGTGGAAGCCAGAGGTTCATATGGGGTGTTGGCCTCATATTTCTTCAAAGTTTCTTATTGAATTTGGAGCTCATTAATTCAGCTGAGCAGCCAGCCAGCTCTGGGAATTCACTTGATTCAGACTCCCTAGCTCTGGGGCCACAAACACAGCAGCCTTTTATGTGGTGCTGAGGTCTGAACTCAGGTCCTCATCTTTGTACAGCAAGCACTTTACCACCGAGACATCTTCCATGTCCCCAGATCACTTTCAATTGTGAATTTTATATATTACCTGTCTCCTAGATCCACAGGAAATAAGTCCCAAATACACATTAGATGATACTCAGAACCTTGGATGGAACTGATCTCTCATAAACCTTTTTTCCTATGCCCATATATCTAACATAATGTTTAGAATATAGGCATTGCAATAACAATATACTGTAACGAATATTATTCAAAAGTTGAGAAAATTTCAATTTAGCACATTTCGTCCTCTGTTGACCACATAAGCAACAGAAACAACAGCAAGCAAAAGAGACACCCCTGTTCTATATAGGGTATTGTTCCTTTGTTTTTGAGATAGTCTCAGTCTTGGCTACCCTCAAACTCAACACATAGCCAAGGCTGGTCTTAAGTTTCCAATCTTCCTGCTATACCTCTTCTTTCAGATGACTTGGGTTTGAGTCCCAGTACTCACATGACAGCTAATGGCCACATACAACTACAGGTTCAGTAGATACAGTGCTTCCCTGGAGCTTTAGGACTTTGGACTAGAAAAACAATTGAATTGAAGTGGGGCTTAATGAGCCAGCCTAGTAGGAATATAGAAGACCGCAGTGCTGAAGGTAATTGGAATTATGGAGGCCCAGCTCGAGATGTCTTAGAGGGGAAGAATACTAGAATGTGGTCTAGAGACCATTTTGGTGAAGTATGTGGTTGCCTTTATTAGTATTTTAATTATTATTATATTTTTTTCAAGATAGGGTTTCTCTATGTAGCCCTGGCTGTCCTGGAACTTACTCTGTAGACCAGGCTGGCCTCAAAGATTTCAAAATAGGCTAGTATCGACTGTTGTGTGCTTATCAGTAGCCAGTCTTATACAGATCTATAAAGAAAAGGAGTAAGCTGAGCAAGGAACGTACAATTTGAGGAGAAAGGGAGCACTCAGAAACCGTTTGGGGGAAAGCCCAGTTCTTTTTTTTTTAAATTTATTTTATTGGATGTTTTATTTATATTTCATATGTTGTCCCCTTACCCCACCCCCCACCCACCCAGGAACCCCCAATCCCCTCACCCCTCCTCCTTCTTCTCTGTGGATGTAACCTCTATCTACCCCCCCACTCCCACCTCCCCACCCTCAGAATTCCCACCCCCTGGGGCGTCCAGCCTTCTTGAGGTCAAGGATCTCTTCTTCCACCTATGCCCAGCAGGGCCCTCCACTCTTACATATTCAGCTAAAGCCCTGGATCCCTCCCTAAGTGCTCCCAGGCTGGTGGTTTAGACCCTGGGAGCTGTGGTTGGTTGGTATTGTTGAAAGCCCAGTTCTAAGTGGACTAAAGGACAAGACCCCCGGCTAAGCGCTGTTCTTGTGACAAGGGATTAAAGAAA